TAACTATCTTACAGATGGGACTTTGGCATAAATCAGGTAACTAGGATCATATTAACCCTCAAAATATCCTAGCGAGAAAATATATCCTGTGTCTTACAGGTGGGAAACTGTTGTTCACCAAATCTATAAGAAGACACGAGGTGCTGGATATCTATCCGCTTTTGCAATAGTTTAACAAAGGAACATCCTTCCCCTGCTGATCCTGTTCTCTCTCCAGATTGACAGTAGGTAGGAGACAGTCACCATCCATGTGGAACCCAGAGCTCAATTCCCCCTACTGACATGTGGAGTTTGCTAGCCAGCTGCAGAATTACCTGTCTTTGGCAGTTCCATGCCCAAGTTAGTCACAAATTTGGAAAGCTGCAGCCGCAGTTTCTTGTTGAGAGCCAAATAATCTAGGAGAGTTAAATCACTGTAGCAAAAAAGTGTCCATTCTGTCCAGTGGTTCACAGTCCAAAAAAAAAAAACGAAAAACAAAAAACTCTTAAAATGGCAAACTTCTTCATTTTTCTGACTCCTGCCAGACCACTGTAAAAAAGACCGCTTTTGACCGAGGGCCCGCAAACTGCTGCTTTATCTCCCTTCCCGGTCCCCACCCTTGTACCCCATCACCCTCTGTTTTGAGCTGAACCACGAAACTACAGGAGATGGAGGAGGTTTACATGCATGGTTTGGCTTTCCCTACTGCAAGCCGTTGGGAATCTTATTGCAAGAGTTCCCTCTGGTGGTCAGTGATGGGGAAATGAGTGAAACTCCCGATGAAAGCAGCTCCTTTTGCCGTTTTTGTGCCAGGATGATTTCTAACTCTGAGTCACTCTCTGACCCTCATTATTTGTCACGTTTCCTTTGCTTACTCAGGGCTTCTCCAGGTAACCTTTCCCAAATTCCTCTTCCCCTCTTCCCTTCCGTATGTAGCACTTATGTAAGCCCTCCACTCTGCAGTGGTTTACTACCATTGACCCATCCTTTCTGAACAAAAGCTACGATAAAGGCGGAGCCCTTATGCCCAAACCTGCATTCCTGTGCTGGCCTTTCAAAGGCAGAGGATTGCAGCCTGAGATGAATGGGAAGGAACAACAGAGTTCTTGGCCACAGTTTCAGAAGAATAAAACTAGATCAGTTTGTAATTCTGAAGAATTCACTGTTAAAAATTTAAACAAGATTCTGAAAGAAGTTGTAAGATACCAAGAGAAGATTCCATTGACCTACCTGAGAGCAAAAATGCTACCAGTGCGAGCTCTCCTTAACTGCGTGGTTTTCCTCTCTCAGTGCAGCTAAACTTGATTTCACTGTCCCTGCCAGTCCGCCTAGAGATGAATTTTCCTAAGGAGCATTAAAACTTCAGCAACTGATCTAAAACCACAGTTAATCAGTAGAAATGTTCTTGCTTTCAAGGATGTTAAAATAAAATTAAGGAAATACCTGGGCTAACTGAAGGCTTCATCTGCTCTAATAACTGCAATGCTAGAGAACCTGGGGTCACATAACCCCATCCTAACCATAAATCTGCTCTAGATCACAGATGCCAATACTGTTTCTACTTACAGAATGAAAACTAAGAGGAGGAAGAGGTCCACCTTTTGGTGGACCATGTTCTGGAGAAATAGCATTTCTGCCACAGAGATGTGTTTCCTCTTGCACTCATTCCAGAATTTCATCAGCTGTTTATGTCCTATTTACTACTCACATGTCCATGTTACGTATGTGTGTTTGGTCTCTGCCATAACTGTTCACATCTGGTTTGGAAGTATCATGTTTCTGTGGTTCTTGCCAGATACTAGCTACATGATGTCAGCACCAAATATAGCACGCTGAGGAGTGCATCTGACATTAGCTGTTGTGTAAGGACTTCTACACAGAGACTGTTAAAAATAGTAAGCCTGGAAGGTGTGACTTGTAGTGAGAAAAAATATTGGTCCCACTGGAGTACATATAAGGGCAGGAGCCTTTACGTTGCCAGCTACAAAATCTCTCCACACCACGCTGGAAAAGTCAAAATTGGCTACTGAAATTTACTGGGAAGTACTATCAAATCAAAGGAAAGGCGACATATCACAGGGGATAATTTTGAGGGTTTTGGTCAGAAATTGTACAAAATTGAGGAATGGAGCAGCCCAAGAAATATGAGGAATTTCTACTGAAATTGGCTGGATGTGACAACCAAGGTGGATGTGTAACCTGAGCAGGTTAGTTTAAAGTGACTGTGAGCTGCAGATGTGATGCAGCTGACAAAACGCAGCTGCCACGGTGGAATATATCAACTGCGGTGTCTCGCCGCGGAGGGGAAGCGCTGATGCCATTGACTAAAGCCCTAGCGAGCCCTCAGCTAAAACACAGTTCTGGTCTGCTGTGTCCAGGGAAGATATAGCTGAACTACAGAGATTAGGATAATTAGAGGAATGAAGAATTTGTTTCATGATAATGGATCCAAACAGTGTGACTTAGCCCAGTGAAAGGAAGGCCAAGAAGAGCTAGGACTTTTCTGTTAAAATAGCCCAAACTCAGCCCAAGAACAATAGGCTAGAGACTTGCCATGAATAACTTTTAAGCTGGAAATTAGATTTCTTTCATCAGATGTGTAGAAATCCAGAAGGACCTTCCTATAGAAAAGAGGGGAGCGGAGAAAAAAAAAAAAAACACACTAACATTTTAAGGAGTCAGATCATTATAAAAGTCATTGTAGAAAGCAGAGCCTGCGCTGACAAGGTCTGGACCTTACAACCCATCCCCTCCATCTCATTCTGTATTTCTCTGTACAGCATGTATTCTTTTCCCTACGACTTTTCTGCTTTGCTCTAATTTTCCAGGCATAGGAGAGCACATGGCGGCGCAGCGGCTCATGTGAAAGGATCCCACGGATCCAAGGCCTGCTCCTCACACTCAGACGTTCAGTGCTGCCCAAGGCGGGGCAGGCATTCAAAATCTCAGCAAATTCACAACAGAAAAATCCACTCAGGGGTATCAGCTGCAAGCGACGCCAAGAGCAGTGAAGCCACAGTGTAGAAGCAACATTGTACTGAGTGGACTGTGAGCCCTTGCAGCACTCTGCTAGGCCAAGCTGCTTGGCTCTGCCCTCTGCTTTGCAGTACAGCAAGCCCTCTGCAAAGGTGCTGCCGGTAGATGTTCTTAACTCGTGTTGCATGTAGATGGGAATAAGCAGAGAACTGGAGAGAGGGAAGGAGGAAGGCAAAGCAGGTGAGGAAAAGAAAAGCATGAGATCACCTGAATAAGCTAGGAAGCTGGAGCACAGAAAGAGAAGGGAGAGTCACGATGTCCTAGCTAGGCAGGGCAGTAGGAGGGAGGCATTTGCCGGAGAAAACGCATGGCGATGTGGTTAGAAGAATGCCTGCAATTCTTGTCTGAGCTGATACTGAACTCTGGCCTTCTACAGGAGATCCCATCTTGCAGGTTCTAGCTGAGGCTGCTCCGAGGATTATAACAAATACCAACTCCGCGTTGCTGGAAAACATTACTCGGTAGTGCAGACTGTTGGTGTTTTTTAAATTCTGGACTGTCCTATTGATGAGAACCAGTAAGGGATGCAGCTCTTCTCCTTAACGTTTTTGTTGTTGTTTTGGGGTTTTTTTTGGAGTGCTTTGAAATACAGGTTGAAAGTACCATCCATAGACAACAGTAGAACCGACTTGCTGTCTTCTCTTTAGATTTGAAGACGCCGGAGGTATGTGTGCAAAATCCTTCCTCATCTCATGATTGTTATCATCAGTCTCGGAGCATGGTTAAATCCTCTTTAACAACAAAAAAAGACAAAGCAAGGAAAAAGCCCCCTAGATTTGTGTTTATATTCTTTCTTGTCAAACACTTATCTCGGTGAATTCTCAATTTTTTTTTTTTTTTTTTTTTTTTTACTCTGAAAACTTCTGTGGAAGTTATTGTAGAAATGATTCTCTAATTAGCTAATGTGCTAGCATGCTTTAGCTCCTACCAACTCTGTGGTCTAAGAGACAGCACCTTACTCCACTTCTTTGTTTTTCATGAGTCAAACCCAGGCAGTATTTTTTCCAGTTTCAAGTAATATATTTTTGTTCCCTGTTGTAATAACTCTTCACGTTTTGCTGCTCCAGAGGAAGTCTGACCTGTTACTAAGAAAAGGGGTTAGATTCTGTGGGCTTTGCTATCTCTAAACTGAGACTGGATTACTTCCTGGAAAAAGTGCTTTAGCCAAAATAATTATTGCAACACAAATGTAAACAACACATTTACACCTACCTGGTGATGGTCCTGAGGGTACCAGTGCCAGAATGAAAAGGCGCCATTGTTACATAAAGCAAACAATGGAAGGGATTGAGTTGAGTGACTGGCCCAGTGTCTATGGGGTTTAGTGCGGTCTTGCAAATTCAGCAGACCGGACTGATGAGAATGAAACTTGTGATTTGTTTTTTTTCCTGCGTTGTTCTTAATATTTACTCTATCAAAAGGTTTGTATCCAAAAAGTTAATGTTTCGTATTACTGGGTTTTTTTGGAAATAAGTTGTAAAATAATGAATGGAAGAGGGATGAAAGTTGCTTGTTTAACTGTGAAAAAGGGTTGGTGTTCTGACTTTGACTGTAACTTGAAGTTGTAAATTGGAACTCTAGGAGTCTGCTATCTTTATGGTCTGAACGTTAAATCTGTTAATGTTTTCCAAGGAGATTATACCTGAAGTTAAAATTGTGGCAATTTTAATTAGAAAAGGTTTTTGATCACTTCCATTGCATTGCTGAGACGGGGTAAGTAAAAACCTTAGCGGTGGCAGATACAGACACTGAATATTACCAAAGAAGAGAGTCTTCATATTAAGGAAGTCTGGTTCATTTGATGTGCACTCTCACTCACGTCAGTGAGAGTTATGTTTATATCCCTATTTAGGGATGTAGCTTGGAGTATGGATCAAGAGGATGGATTTCTTGTAGAAATAGCCCTTTTTTTTTTTTTTTCAGAATAGCAAGTTTGTTGGTTTTGGTGTTCATCAAGATATCATCACCGTTCTGCTTTATTTCAGGACACTAGTAGAAGATATGAAAACAAAGCTGGAAGTTTCATCACTGGAATAGATGTAACCTCCAAGGTAATTTTTACCCTGTGGTTCTTCAAAGTGTTCTCATTGTTGCTGCTGCGTAGGAGGAAGCATTTCATTCCTTCCTAAGAGGCACAGAAGTTTAGCTTCATGTTCAGATAGGTGGTATTTTTTAACAGCTAGAGAATTCTTCTTTTGTTGGTTATGCTTTGTCTCAGGATGTGATGTCTCTATAAGCTGTAAAAATTAGCATTTTTAAGTTACAAGATTTGTGAAGTCGTAGCTTTATGAATCTGCATCTTTGATTTTTTTTTTTTTGGTAACTATTCACAAGCTTTTATAGTCTTGTTTTGGGTCTTTGGCACACAACTTTAAAAAATGTTTATACTGAAATTGCATTGATGCCACTCAATATTGCAAAACAAAGCTCTTTGCGTCAAGTCTTCTCTTATGTGAGTATCAGGAGGAAGAACAGACGCTTAGCAGGAAAATCTAGTTTCGTTGCCTTGTGTTGTTTAAGGGCATCACATTATTTAAGACTTAGTCTGAAGAATGTGAACAGCTGTTGCATTTAATTAACTTAATATTACATAATTCTATGGAAGAAGCTTAATCTCACAGCTCATATCTATACACGTAGTATTGAACTGGCAGTTTTTTCATATTGTATAATTGACCACTCTACATAGGATCTGGTAATGGAGAAAAAAGCATTTAGTCTTCTATATGCTTTATAGTACTGATAACATTTTACATGTTCAAACAGATATGAATCCCCAGAGCAGCAGTGCATTGGTAAAAGAAATGTATTCCCATTTTGCGTTAGTGAAACTCATCAAAAACTTACCAAAGAGTACCAAAAGAATTCCTGATGAAGACTGAAAATCAGCTATTTTGGCTTCAATATCTAGCTTCTGTATATTGTAGTTCAGTAAATGATCTGAAGTGATACTAGCCAGGAGAAAATGGTCAGCTTTGGTTGTATTCCTTAATCATGCAACTTTTTAAAAAATCGTATAACTTTTGTAATCATCATGTAATAATGTAACTTTTATTTTAAAAGTCTTAATAAATGTGGTTGAAGATTTTTCACAATCTTTAAAAAATAATCTAAAAGCATATATTTATTTTGAAATATATAATTGGTGACAATTTTTACTTATTCATTGTTTGTGTTTCAATTTTGACTTTGGTTAGTAAGATCTAAAAGTCTATGATGTTTCTTATTAATTCTGTAGATTAAGGAGCTTATCAGTCAGTTCCAATAATTGCACAAGGTCCACATGAGAACTTGCTTATGAGCTACTTTAGAAGTAGCTTGAATTGCCAGTCTAAGTAAGACCTTTGTAGTCAGCACTCTGGCTAGTGCCCTCTGAGCATGACAGCCCAGAGAGATTCTTCTGAAGACAACAAAGTGTATGTTTGTATATGTGCTTAAAAACAGGTGAAAAGTCTCAGTAGCTTTACAACAAAAGATGAGTTTTCCAGATGGAGGAAAAGTTTGTTTCAAGAGAGAATTTACTGTCCACAGCCCTTGTACGTTCATTAGGAAGGAAAATATAATCTTACTATTCCATCACAGAGGCTAAGCTGTGGTGCAAGATAGCTTGTTTTCTCTGCATCTTAATTCCCATTATGTTCCTGGACCTAGGTTAAAAATATTATGTGGCACAAAAAAGTTTTAATGAATCGTTTTCACACTCTGAATCATACAGAACTCTTCAAAATGAACAGAATTATTAATTCAGATTATTACTGCCTGGTGAATTGTGTTTTAAGTATCTGGCCCTTCCGTGCAGCTTGTTTGGAACGCTGCTCTGATTTTTGTTTTCACTACATCATTTTACTTTTTTCAGGAAGCAATTGAGAAGAAAGAGCAACGAGCAAAACGTTTTCACTTTCGAGCTGAAGTGAATCTTGCTCAAAGGAATGTGGCACTGGATCGGGACATGATGAAGAAAGGTAAGAGTTAGAGTTTATCAAACAGTCAAGGAGAAGAGATGCCCTTGTTTACTTGCTCACAGTTTTTTGTTGCTCAATTTGTACTATAACACTTCCTACATTCCTAGAGGTTTTCTCAGATTGCCAAAATAAATCACTTCTATTTTTTTCCCTTTTTGTCACTGCTTTTTAAATTGCTTTGTAACAGTTATCGTTTCACTCTTTGTTTTACCAGTACCAGAAGGAAGACGACATTTTTTTTGTGTACCCTATCTGTTGTTGGCAACAGTACTTAGTGCTGCGTGTCCAAGATTCACCTTTGAGATCAGCCCTGCTTTCAGAATCTTTCAATTTAAAAAGGCCCTGAGTACTGCTTGTGTACTGGTAGAGGACTCTGTCCCAGGCGCAGTGAGATTAGATTCGGTGTTGTACGCACAGAGAATCATTGCACATGTGCTTTAAGTGGCAAACTGGGCATGTTGGAATGCAAGCGAGTTGACTGGGAGAAGCGCACCCAACAGGTTGGCACTTCTGGTATCCTGTTAGTTCTCAAGGCTTTTTTTTTCAAACTGGCAGCTTGGACCCAATAAACCATGCCCTGTAACAGCTCTCCGTCAGACGGTGGTGGAAGTGCTTTGTACCTGTCTGGGTCGCAGGCCTCAGTAGCATTCTGCCTCTTTGGTAGTTAGTGTATTTTGATAGTGTTTTCAAAATAAATGTTTTTCAGGCAGTTTGATCCCCGTTCAGTACCTGCATCTACCAATGCTCATAATGTTGCAGCCACCTTTTCCTCTTTTTAATTCGCAATTTATTAAGTTTTGCATTGTAGAATAATAATTCACGTTCTAGTCTTTTAGGTCACTGTGCATCATACTTGGTTTTTGTGAGCTCCCCTTTAGCTCATTTAAAATGTTTGTTTTATAAGCCTGCCTATTACTAGTATAAAAGCTTGCTCTATAGAAATGAGTGCTAGTTTTATATTTCTTTCTCTTCATAGCAATTCCTAAAGTGAGACTGGATACAATTTACATTTGTGGGGTGGATGAGATGAGTACACAGGACATCTTTGCCTATTTCAAAGAGTATCCTCCTGCACATATTGAGTGGTTAGATGATACATCATGTAAGTAAACTGTAACTCTTAATCTTTGTTATATTTGTCTTAACTCTGCCTCACGTTTCTTAGTGTCTTTGTAAGTGACTGATATTTCTCTGTCTCAGTTTACCAATAATTAGTCTTAGACAAAGAGATTTGGAAGGAAATAATCAATAACATATGGGGAAAATCAAGCACACTGTCTAGCTGAGTGTTTAGAAGGAAAATGTCTCATTTGTAAATGACCAAACATCTTATCGTTACTAGACTAAAGAAGAGACTAAAGAAATGCAGCAGTAGCCAAAAACGTGGCCAGTGCACAAACTGTCAAAGCAGGAGAGTCGCTGGTGAGGGATGTGAATGAGTTCATTACAAGTTAAAGTGGTATTCATCAAAAATTGTGGTCTAATTAACAGCATTTGAAGTAGTGAATGAAGATAAACTGGTGCATAGGGAAGAAAGAAACTACGTAGTATTCAGGAAAATGGAAAAGAAAAAACATCTGACCAAAAAGTGGTGGCTGACGAACTGAAGTTATTGGAAAGTGAGAGCGTAGAATAACTTGCAAGTCTCTAAGTGAAGGGGGGGGGGGGGGAAGGTCTAAAAACTTTGTGTTGCTTGCTTTTTGACGTAGGTAGCATACCCATTTAAGTGTCGCAAAAGATGACATTCGGAGAGAAGATTAGTGAAAAATATTGGTGTGCAACTAGGCAGGTTGGTATGGTTTCGTGCTGGGAAGGAGCGCACTTGTTGCCGTGTTCATTTAGTGTGTTCTTGAGGCGAAATTAAAGTGGGTGGAAGAAGGTGTCAGCTGGATGTGATCTACATAGACTGGAAAAGGAATGTAAACTCACATTGCAAGGACTGTTTTGCAGAGTATGTGTGCGGTGAGATTGCCAGAAAGATATAAAGTTGTTGACAGTTGTGCTTTCCTCCATGATGTTGAAGACTGTACAAGAGCTGTTTGCCCAGCCCAAAATGGCACTGGATCGTGGAACTAGAAGGCTTTGAGATTGTCAGGCGGTTAAAAGTCCTGTAACTGGAAATTTCATATGAAAAAGAAGTAAGAGCCAGTGCGAATTTCCCTATCGAATTGGGATTGCTGGAGGCTAGTTTATTGACAAGCATGGCAGAGACCTGAGAATTAGTAGCGCAGTTCTTGGAATGACTGCGTAGGAGTTAAGTCCAAGTGCAACACTAAAGACAGGGTATACTACAAAAACATTAGTAACCTTGAAGTCAATGTGTGTGATGGTTTGAATTATAGTCGCAAGTTGTCAGAAGATTTGAAGAACAGTGAGCCCTAGGTAGAAAATTGCAATAAAGACTTGCTAGATGAAGCTATGATGATGCTTAAGCTAGCAACTGCACAGCTTAACACCTGTATCTGAGGTACTTTTTTCTGAAATGTTACATGAGTGAATTGAGTGTAGAGTAAGACTGAACTTGGAATGCAAAAATATCAGCTTCAGAGTTTAACCATACTTTTTACATTTATAGTTAAAACTGGTTATTTGGTGGTTAGTTTCTGTGCTGTATTTAAGTTAGCATGCTGTTAGATTAGTAATATAAGGTATTGTTATGCTCAGCTGCAGTGCACATTGGTATGAAACCTACGCTTGGTGAAAATGTGAGGAAGAAGCATTGTCTCTTCAGCGTAGATTTGTGTCACAGCATGGCGAAAATGTGAAAGTTCCCAATTGAATTACGTCTCAAGGTGTCTTAATACAAAGGTGAATTGAGACCGTGTTCTGTGCTCCAAACTGAGAACGTAAAATTGTAAAGGCTTTGAAAATTTGGAGCGTCAAAGGCAGGCAGGCATACATACACAAAAAAGTTACTAGCCGGTCTGTGAACTTAGCGTCTGGGTGCTATTCACCTTATAAATCTTGTGGGTCCAAGTAATTTAAGGGAATTATTATTATTATTTTTGAAATGCTATGTAGTTTGCTTGATATCCAAGTATGTTCATAGCTATCATTTGCTTAATGGTAGAGCATTTGTAAATGACATTTGTAGTTGAATTTGTACTGACTGCATCCCTGGAGAAAGCTTTGTTCAGAACCTGTTTTTAAGGTGTGTATTTTTTGTTTTGTTTTTTTTTTTACCTCTTTCAATTTCAGCATCTATAAAATCCTTTTATTGGCCTAATTATCAGTTTTGTTTATACTTAAGATCTTAGTACCATCTCTTGATGCTTCAGGCATGTATTGAATCTCATTGCACTTTTCTAAGTGCACCAGAAACTTAGTAATCATATTAGTAAACTGTGCACACTATAACCTCGACAAAATGTTTGAGCACTCTCTCCTATTTTTCTGCTTTTTGGAAAAAATAACAGAATTCTGCAGTAAGGCCCAAGGTGCTGTTAACTTACCAAACAAAAAAATATCAAGGCTTATTTCATAGCATCTCTGTTTTGATCACGTGTGTGTGCTAACAGGTTTGCGAAATACTTTAGCCCTAATTCGATATCCTAATACGCTCTGCTCAGGAAGTAGTCTATAATATATATGGTTGTGCATTTCAGTGGCTTTGGTTTTGATCAGTTGTTGTGTGTTTTTTGTAAAATGTTGAAAGCTGTGTGTCCCCCGGCTTTCCAAGCGTGCTAAAGAATACGTCTTCCCCTGTGAGAAATATATCTGATTACTTTTTTGTCATGTAGTTACATGAGAATATTTCTGAACTTAGTATTATTAGTTAGTAATTTCCCTCCGTTAAGGAAGTGTATGTAACTGCTTGTTTTACAAACTTTTTTTGTGTGTGTTTCTGTGTGTATGTCATAGGTAATGTGGTCTGGCTTGATGAAGTAACAGCAACACGGGCCCTAATAAATATGAGTTCCCTGCCTGATCAAGAGAAACCAAAAAGCAGGGAAAACAGTGAAGAGAAGACAGCTGAAAAAAACAAGAAAGGTAGATGAAATATGTGTGTGTTTATATATAGAGATGATCTAGTACAATCGATGAAACTTTAAACTTGTGCTTGGGTACTTCATAATCTGAGTTACTGAAGGAGCTTCTGTCATATAGTTTCAGGTAAATGTATTCTGCCACTTTTAAAAAGGCTTTCATCTTGGAAACCTTTTGAAGAAGCTGCTTCTTAAAAGGTGGGTTGGAGTTAGACCAAAAGCAGTAATTCAGTCCATACTGAGCATGTTGGATGCAGGGTCATATTCAGATATGATGTTTATAGTGGTACAGGTCTCACAGAAATAAGTCTGTGTGACATGCATGCAGAGGAGGTAGAAGGATGGATTGTAAGTGTGTGGAAAAGCAGGTGTAAGGAATTGTCATATTTTCTGAAATACAGCAGTTCATTCTTTGCTTGATACAATGCCATTGTTTATCATGTGTGTTGTTAACACTGACGTGCCAGTGTATCACTTCACCACTGCGTATGTCGTCTCTAAATTTGGCCCTTATACTTTCAGATAAGCAGCACACCGAAAGGTCAGTTATAGTGGAGCAAAGCAGCGAAACACTTTGTTGTGATGAATCTGGTACCTGCATGCCCTAATTTTAAGCCCGTTTTACTTCTATGGGTATAAATTGAGAATCAGGCTTTTGCTATGTTATAACTGTATAGAACTGTTACGCTGTTAGGCTAATGTGATTAATTGCTGTGGTTCAAAGTACTGTACCACACAGTACTAACAGAGTGATGTTGTGTTAACCCTGGTATATAGCGTATGTAAACAAAATCTATCAACAAAATGCAAATGACCAATCTCTCCACTTTATATTTGCAGCGGTACCCAAAGCCTTTTTGTAAAGTCTGATTTTTAGGGCTTTGTTGAACTTGTGGATCCTTCTTACTCATCTCCTTTTCTTGTTGCTTTTCTGCACGAGGCAGTGGCTCCTCAACAATCCACATAATTTCAAATGTAGGGTAAAGGTTGATAATGCTTTAAGTAAGCTTGCTATGAAGTTTTTGGAAATTACCTAATGTCTTGTTTAAATGGATATAAATATTTGTATATTAATCTTGTTGGCCACAAAGTATGCATTACACCATCACTACACCACATCGCATATATAATAAAAAATGTTGTCATCTAAATTCCTCCTACATACACTTATTCACCTGTTCATCTGGAAAAGTTAAAAATATTAAGTATTAAGTTCAAACTCTTCAATTACGTCTTACAGTGTGAGATGCCTATAGGTATACTGAAGTAATTTGGCTTAGTTACCTTCCTTTTCTAGGTAAGAATTTGGGGTTATTTAGATACCTAAGGAAGCAAGAGATATTACCATAAGAAGTTTGCTATTTAAAAAAGTGGTTGAATGTTCTCCCTGATAGAATTTAATTTTTCAGATTTGAATTTGGCAATTTTATCTTCCTGAATTCTCTCTTTGGTGTCATTTTGGTTAATTGTGCTTCACTCTCTTCTTTGAAATTGGGTATAGTTGTTGAGATCTGTTGAAAAGCTACTGCTCTCCCATTATAAGTTGTCAAGTCCATTGTCAGAGGAGATTATATTTCTGAGTTCTTAACAGTTTTGTTAGTCTTGTGTAGCGTCTGTAAAGTACTCTGAGATCTTTGCATGAGAAATGACATTAGTATGTGTTGACAGTTGTCAATACAGATTTTTTTGGGAGGAATATTTGGGAAAAAAAATTCCAATCACAATTTTAACACTGGAAGAGCTATGCTGGCATTTCACAGTATAGATGGTTCTGGAAGTGTGTACTCTTCTGTTAATTGTTTCACTTTGAAATTAAGTCACGAAGTTGGTTTTTTTTTTTTTTTTTGAGCTATCTCAGAAACTGTTAAACTTTTGAATATTAACCTATTTAACATTTTTGGTATTGAATACCTGTAGATACTTACAGCATTTTAAGGGGAGGGCGGAGGAATTAGGCTTTTGAGTGCCTTTTAAGATCTTGCCCTTGTTGATCTCTGCCATAACTTGAAATGCAATGCAATTTCATTTGTTTTCAAATAATTAAATTTATAGTCCATGGGTGCTGCCCTAGGCACTCATCTGCACAGGGGCTGTCTGGTTAATGTTATTCTGTGCTCATGTGTGTTTCAAATTTCTATAGACATTTACTGTTTTGATTATTCGCTAGGGTGCACAGAAGAATGGATAACATCTTCAGTTTGATTTCAGAGAATGTAGGTAATGCTAACGAAATGCTAGTGACACACTAAAGTGGAGACTTTTCCTTTTTTTTTTTTTTCTTTTTTAGAAAAAACGGAGGAAAGTTCTGAGGATGAAACAGAAGAAGGCGAGGTTGAAGATGACAATCCAAGTGATGTTGAGGTCAGTGTAGAAAGAAAGGAAAAGCACTGATGTGAAAATTTTGCTCTGAGCGGTGTAAAGTCTTCAAAACATTGTAGTTTCAACTATATGAATTCTAATTATTAATTTAATTACTAAAGTAAATTGGATGGAGAAATGACAGGAAGAGCAGATATGCTGTTGGAGAGACTATCCACATAGAAATGCTTTGTGAAAATAGATTTTAAGGAGTGAAAGGGCATTCAGCAGCTAAGAGCCTGAGTGGCTGCTCTGTTCTGGTGAGAGAAGACATGAAAGAGAAATAAGAGACTGAATACTGATCTGAAGGCGGTGCTTAAAGGGGCAAAAGGGATTGAGGCTGTCCACGGATATACATGGGATTGAGCATACACATTGATGTTTTGTCAAGTAATTAATCTTCCCTGGCTGAATATGTAACAGGTATGATTAGTTTTTCTTGAGGGATCACTCAGAAAACACTCATACAGGTCATGGAAACCTGAATTTTAGTCTATATAACACAGATATTGATTTTTTTAAAATACCTTTTACTCATTGTGTGAGGGCGTGAGAACCTGTTAATGAAACCAGTTAGAAATTAAACAAAAAATAAAATTGGGTAGTTGTTTTATTTTGTCCAACGTAAGCGCTATTTATTTTCTGCACTTCAATCAGTACCATACTTTCTATACTTTCATTTGGAAAATTACTGGATTTATAATCTGAGATGACGTTATGAAGGACAAGAAGGAAATATTTTAAATCTTTAAGACAAATTACTTAAAAAATTCATATCAGTTGCCAGGAAAAAGAAAAGTTCATTTGAACAGGATTTGAAAAGTGACTTTCTTAATAATCAGTCGATTGCTTCTCCTTAAGCAATCCATTTTCATTCAGCAGTGATTTTATTTTTGAGTCCAAAATACCTTTTTTGCCCCCCAAAGTTGGATGCCCTCTCCCAGGTAGAAGAGGATTCTCTCCTGCGTAATGATCTTCGCCCTGCCAATAAACTGGCTAAAGGAAACAAGCTATTCATGAGATTTGCTACTAAAGGTAAATGAACAGCTTAACAAGCATAATGAATTGATTGCTTGTTGCAGTTTTATTTGTTGACTAATTAATGACTCAAGTGACCTAATTTGCATTTGAAAAGATGTTAGTATTTGCTAAACACTAAGTGTTAAGATTTTACAATAAATATACGTTTAGTTTGTGAATTAAATCCAATTCAAGTTGTATAAAGATTATTGTTTATAAAATTTTGTTTTGGGCTCAATATGAGACATTGTTCTCGATATCGTAGAACAGATTTTACGATGCCCTTCTCTACAAAGGTCAACCTCACGTTTTATAAATACAAAAATCATTTGAGGTGTTTACGAGGTATTAATGGAAATTGTTGCTGAATACAGTTGAGATAGTAAATTGTGTTTATGAGTAAAATGAACATACATACTATTTCTGGGCTGTGTGAAAAGTGACGTATCCATAGAGAATAAGAAAGTCAGGAGTAAGGTAAGTATAGCCTCCAGCAGTTACAGTGGGATGTAATGCACTATAAAGCTGATACATAGAAAGTTAGAGTCTCCACTGAATTAAGTTTCTGGACACAAATAAAACTCCGATGGGAGGAGAAATTTCAGAGGAGGTGTCAGCAAAATTTCATCCTTCATGAGGGAGATTGAAGTAGTATTGCTCTGTAAGACCTATTCAGTCTTCCTTTCATTCTCTGTGCCTTTGGCTGGATGGTTATTTATTTTTATGTTAGTGTAATAAGATATATTTTAAGGGGGGAAAGATTGCTTTAATTTATGTTTTTTCAGATGACAAGAAAGAGCTGGGAGCTGCAAGGCGAAGCCAGTATTACATGAAATATGGCAATCCCAATTATGGAGGCATGAAGGGAATTCTTAGCAATTCTTGGTGAGTATTCTTAGCAGTTCTTTGAGTACAGGATAGAAGAATTGGAATGTTGCAAGTACTTGGACAGGCTAGTCTAAAACTGTTTAATTTGTAAATTTATTTTTTTCTCAAACGTAAATGTTTAAGTGTGAATCATGTTTTAGCAAAATGACTATGAATTTGCAAGGTGAATGTTTTCTCTTGAAATTAATGAATATTTATATTCAAAACATTCTGACAGAACAGGCTTCTGGCATAAATGTGTTCTGCTATTAAAGGGAGTGGTAATTGCATTTGCTTAACCTGGAATTGCCTTTTCTGTGACAGAAATAACCTTTTTATGATGTTTCAGGAAACGAAGATACCATTCACGTCGAATCCATCGGGATGTGATAAAGAAAAGGACGCTCATTGGGGATGATGTTGGCTTGACTCCTCCTTATAAACATCGTCATTCAGGTAATTGATGCCGTTATGTAGAACCTGTAAGGACGCAAGTTGAGAAATGGAGGGCTGGAAAGGACCTTAAGCAGTGTCTTATCTAGTCCCTTACAGTGCGTGAAAGTCGGGTATACTTCTTAAAAACAAACACACACACACACACCCCTAAGGCACTTTTTCAGGTTTTACAAGGAATAGCTGAGGTATCAATTCCTGCTGCTGTTCATTGGCTTTTCAAAATAGCTGCCACTTTTTATTTGATGTTTTCCTTTTACAAATGTCGGATGTGGGGCTGTAGCATCAAGGACAAAAAAAAAAAACCTCTTTAAACTTAGTGGCAATTTGTCATATTTGCTATTTCAATTCTTCTGTTGTTGTTCCATGTCTAGTGCTTGCTATTTCAAACGTAACTAACAAAATTCTATTCATTAGGCTTGAATATCTGCAGTCGCCCCCTAAGATAGTGGGTGTGCATCAGAAAAATAACTGATGTAAACATCTTTGACTTGAGGGAAATTTAATGCCTAAGTTTGGTAGTATTTAAGTAGCCTGTTAAAAATATAGCCATGGACATATCAAATCACACTAAAGCTTTTACATGCTGATAATGTACTGTCTTCTGGAATGATGTCTGCACACTGTTGATAACCAAATGTAAGAGGCTTGACTTGTATCTAAAGCAGTATATATGATAAATTCAGACTAGTGATGTGTGTGCTTTTTTTGGCATTGCTGCCAACAAGACTTGGAGGGATTGTACAGCTTGCACGGCCAGCAGTTGTCACATTAAGCCCTCCAGGATCATAAGAGTTGTTATGTTAAGTTCAGGAGGTATGACCGCCTATAACAAGAGGCAGTTAGACTCTCTATATTCAGTTCAGCTTTGTACTTCAGCAGTCTTCTGAGACAATGAACAGCAAGGACTTTTTGCTATCATGGTAATTTACTTCCACTTAGACTCTTCTGTAATACAGATTCCATTTAGAGTATTTTGCAAATGTCTCTCTCTCTTTAGTCTTGAAGAACTATATAGACTCCTTATGAAAAGAAGGATCACTTATTTTACAGTGTTCTTTCTGCCTCAGTTTCAAGGAACTTTGTACAAACAGTAGACTTCAGTTTATCAGAATCTGTTTCACTACAGGCCTAGTAAATGTTCCTGAGGAGCCTATTGAGGAGGAGGAAGAGGAGGAAGAGGATCAGGATATGGATGAAGATGATAGAGTTGTGGTTGAGTACCGCGATGAACTGCAAGCTTTCAAACAGTCTCGAGACCGCAGTGCAGCCAGACGATCAAGTGCTAGTGCATCAGATTCTGATGAAATGGACTATGATCTTGAACTGAAAATGATATCAACCCCCTCTCCCAAAAAAAGCATGAAAATGACAATGTATGCAGATGAGGTGGAATCACAACTGAAAAACATTAGGTAAAAGTTTATCTAAAAGTATCCATGAAAAGGCATTCTAAATTTAAAAAAACATTAATCTAACTAAGGCCTAAAGTTGTTCGTTCAGGTAGTTATGTCCGTATTTGAGAAGGTGGTTCTGAACTCTGAAGAAGTTAGATAACTTCAGGCACACTGATCATTTGTTTTCTCGAGTAGCAGGAGCTGATAGTGCTTTGGGGAAGATGAAAATACCTCAGTCACCGTTGTATATATGCAAAATTCTCAGTGGTAGACAATAATTCTCCTTGAAATCTTTTCTTAGATGACTCTTTCCTTAAGACTGATTACGGCAGATCTTAGCAACAGAACTATAAAGATAAATGGTTGAAGCTACAATTTTAATTCTTAGCATCGTTTTGTAGTAGGTATTTTAATGACGAAATACAAAATATTGAAAATACTGACACAGGCTTTTAATTTCAATTACAGTTTTTAAAATGTTGCTCCCGTTACAGTATCCATAAGCTAGCATTATGATAATAATGAAGCTGACAGTGGAAGCGGTAGAAATTGATGAGAACAAGCACAATTAACTTGTTGGTTTCATAGCTGGACCAGGGAGAAATAACTACTCTTTCTCTTTTCCCTTTGCTCTTCCGTCTTTTCTCAGAGAAAAAAAAACAGCCCATAAGTATTAATGGCAGTATGTAATTTTTTCATTGTGGACATATTAATAACCTGCAGTATATGTAATTTTAGTTAAAATAACTTTAAAATATGTCCCTTTGGTAGTACAATTATACCATAGTTCATTCTAATGTGAGGTAGCTCTTCAGAATTCTGAAGTTGTTCATTTGCGCTGAATTTTGACGCAGAGGCATTGCCTTAGAGACACAGACTTGATGTTTGCCTTGAAATAGATACCAAGGTATTCACGTGACTGTTGCTAGACTCGGGATTCTGACTAGAACGGGTGCTCTTTTAAGTCACGTTTTTACCCCTGTTTCTCAGTAGAGAAATCTTGATTTTGCTGTTCTCAGTAGTGTAATTTTACATACAAGAAGTCTTAGGAACTATACTAGATTTAATGTAAGGGACTTTTGAATCTATTGTTATTTTATTTAGGAACTCTATGCGAGCAGATAGTATAGCAACCAGTAACGTCAAAAATCGGATTGGCAGTAAAGGATCATCAGAGAAAGTTGCAGATGTAAGACTTCTATTAGAAGAAAAACGTCAAAATAATTCTGGGCCACGTCAGCCAAACAGCATTGTAAAATCAGGTAATTTGAAATTCCTACGTTGTGCAGAGCTATGACTGTCTCATAAAAATTGGTATGTTCATTTCACATCAATGCTCCGCTGTAACTTATAAACTTGAGGGAATTGTGTTTAGCAGCACTTTCTGCATTCATAGAGTTAATTTTCCTCACTGAGCCAGAGCTGGAGATTGCTTTTGGGGAAAAATGAAGTACGTTTAAGTGAGAGAGTGACATGTATTTTTATCCGATCTCTTTGCCTGTGTGTCTGTTTCCCCTGCTTTGTCCTTTTGCGTTTACTTAGTCCTAGAGGCAGAGAATTTGTAGTTCTCTATGGGAAAATGCACAGCACTTCCAGGAGCTCACGTACAAAATCACACCTGAGACTCTAGCTACTCATATGAAAGTACTGGTATAATGTGAATATGAAGCTATTTTTTATTTGGCAATTATTTTATTTTACACTTAATTGACTTTCTTTTTTTGACTTGGGTACATGTAATTTCAGCTACCTCTGGCATACGTAGTATCCAAAGGTTGTCTGACTGACGGTGTAAGATCCTCTTTTGCATCAGTGCAACGTAGAGGTTGCCTTAGTATGTTTTGCCACTTTTGTGCATTTTGAGGCTTTGATAACTTGCCACATAAATCTTTCAATTTCCTTTGCACTCTTATTTCTGCTTGAACCTTCTTTAAGACTGGGAACGTCAGGCTAAACCAGACACGTGTCAGAATGCGTGATTCCCATCATGGGTTAAGTATCAATATATTTAGAATTCTTATGTTCTGGTTTTCATTTTATTCTGCAAGATATTAAGCAGTATTAGAATTCTAAAGTAAGTTATCCATTATCTAAAAGAATCATTGAAGGCATACCAATTTTCCTGTAATCACACCTCATGCTGGAGACATACCACTCTCTCCGCTGCTGTGCTGCTGAACTATAGAAGTGCAGCAAGCTATGGAGTGATTATTACTTTTTTTGGTCCTTTGGACAGAACACAGCCTGAAGACATTTAATGTCGATTGGGGGTGGGTGGGGGGGAATCTAGGCAAGTATTGCATACATTTCCAGGACTGAATATGGAGTATGAAAGACTTTCTGAAAAGAATTCAGAAAAGATTGTAAAACCTCCAACTGGAGGTAACTTTTTTTTTAAAGTGAGTGAAGAAGATAAAATTAGCTGGCAGAAGTAAACGAAATGCAACGTATGATTTTGATTAAAATGACAACAATACAAATAAATTTTAATCACTGACAATATCCACAGATGTGCGGCAGAGACTGGGAAAAAGACCACATTCTCCAGAAATTAAGCCTCCAAGTAATACCTCTGCTCCTCGTCGAGAACCGATATCAGACGTACACAGCCGATTAGGAATCCCCAAACAAGATGTAAAAGGCCTCTACTCTGATACCAGAGAGAAGAAATCAGGTTAGTGTTATGGAGAAAATGTAATAACGCAATCCCTTTGGTTTTAGAGTGGAAGGGGAATTTCAGCTGAAAATCCTGCAGGATGTTTTGTTGAGTGAAATTGAGATGAATTAATAAATGTGTGTTCGGACCTTTGAAGCCTTCAAAAACTTAGGAAGCATTTATTGCAAATCAAAAGGGTCAGACTCTACCCCAAGGGAAGCTGATGCAGCTTACATAAAAGATTATGGACTGTATATACATATTTCCCAGGGGAGGTGAAAGTCACCGGTAAAAAGGATTCTTCTGGGGAAGAGTTGCGGCAATAGAAGTATAACGACACAAAGAACGAGGGAAAACAGTATCTAAACCACATCTGAGCCCTGTTCTTTTTCCTAATTTGAATATTATACTATGTTATATTATTTTCCAACTGTGGTGTTTAGAGAGTTATGAATGATTAGACTGACACAAGGCACGGTTACACTGGTAATTAGTTTTCCATTGGGTATGGAAAGTAACTTTCTACTAACACATCTGTGTCCATACTAGAATACTTCATGCGGACTCAACTCCAATAAATCTTGCTTATGCTAATTTTACTAATGCCTTTTGCCTGCACAGTTCAGCTCCTTACTGTTTATGCTGTCGCCCATGTAATTCACATAGCTATATTGGTAAAGCATATAGAAGTCTAAACTTCTTTGATCTTTCATTGAAATAAGCAGGGATTTCCCTAAATACATGCAGGTAGTTTGAGCTAAGACGGTAATATGTTTCCATAGGTATGTTTAAAAGCATACTTTAAAACTGTGGTCAAAAGAAGACAGTAAAGTAAGTGTGACACTGACACTTCAGACCTGCGTGCAGCATTCTCTGCAAATGGTGTGAATGAGGCTTTACTGAGCCTCCCGTATTTTAAATTCAACTACTGCTTCACAGGATAGTTCCATCTCAAAGATAAGGTGGGAGAAATTGAAGTACCAAAATTTTAAGGAGGTGCAGCAAATTTAAGACGGGGTTCTTCAGACTTCTTCAAGAACTCTTAGTGGTAACGTTTTATGTTGATTTTTTTTTTTTAAGTTTTTTTTTTTTCTGTCCATCTAATTAGGTAATTTGTGGACCCGATTAGGATCTGCTCCGAAGACGCAAGAAAAGACTTCAGATAAACCTGAAAATTCTGTGGCATCTCCAGAGGAAGATGATTCAGAGCTCCAGCGGGTTTGGGGTGCTCTCATTAAGGAAAAAGAACAATCTCGGCAAAAAAAGAGTCGATTGGATAATTTACCATCTCTACAGATTGAAATCAGCCGGGAAAGCAGTTCTGGATCAGACACTGAATCATGATGTTTTTTATACTCTGATCTCTCAAGATTATGACTCTGCAATATGGCAAGATTTCCTTTGCCCAAAAGCTGGACACTGGCAAAGACTCAGCAGTGAAGGTTCCAGAAGAGTCTCCATTCCTTTTATACAAAAATAGAGATGCATATACCACTTGAAACCTAAAGCAATCTCATTTGTCTGCAGTCTGTGGTTGGCCCTGTGTTATGTAGGGCATTGTCATATATGTTTATTACAGCAAACTTGTAGTTAATTCTAGCAAAACACGTTTCCCCAAGCTTTGAACTTAGAAGAGGCAGAAATACTCTGTATTTTTAAGAGGACCTTTTTGTTCTTAATATTTGTAACATGGAGTCTTTTAACAAAATATTTTACACAGTTCATCCAAAGAACAGGGCATTTCATAATCAACAATGCTGCCTTGCCCTTCTGGCTGTTACCAGCACCTTTCCTTTCCTCCTAAAGTAATAACAATAATGCTTCCTGGGTGGGCAGCCAGCAAGGATAAAGCATAAAGGGACTGTCACGTCCCCTTCCTCCAAAATATTGAATGTAAATCTAAGTTAATTTTTTTTAGTACAGTAAAGTTTAAAATAGTATCCAAGTAGCATCATTGCTCTGAAAGAATTCCACTCGTTTCTTTTGGTGATACTATGTTCTGCTGTAGTAGAGATTGAGGTTCAAGACTGCAAAGTTTGATGTTTGAGAATTGTGTGCAAATTCCTGAGACTTTTTTTTTTGGTTACATGCTGAAAAATTATATTTCTTTCAATTTAGCTGTATTATGTTTTGAAGAAATCTAACAGTTTAAAAACTTACTTTTTTATATTTGTGAGAATTTTCCTGTTGGCCACGGTGAAAGCTATAGTGGTGTTTTCCTATGTGCTGTTTAACTATATATGTGTATATATATAATTGAAAGAGAAAAGGAAGACTATAGGATCACTGTCTCATGTCAGTATTTTTGAATGTTCGTATTGTATAGTACATGTGGATGTGCACATGGTTGACTTGCAACATTCAGCTTTTTTTACCCACATACCCTCCCTAGGTAGGTAAAGGGTTGTTCAGTGTGCAGCTGCATTTTTTTTTCTTCCCGTTGCCTATGGCATTTATTTTGATTGCCAGTAATTCTCAATAAGGAATAATGCTAGCATATCACATTCTGATAGCTGGAACATGTAGCAAGAACATTGCCTGCTGTGTTTGGAGAGTCTGAAAAATTGCTTGCATCGTCCTGATTTCCTAAGTTCCATCGGCCCCAAATGTCTGTGAATCTCTTCCCCTTTCTGCTTTTCTAACAAATGTTTTCTTCTTTTTCTTCTATTTTTATACTAAGTTGAAGTTGGTTTGAGGCCTCACAAAAGCAAGGAATCTGCAGTCAACTTTCTTTATAGCTTCGTTATGTGTGAGAATAGCAGCGTGTAAAATGGAAGGTGCGGTGACTAGAAGGGCAATCTGAGGACTGCTTGGGCTTCAAGCCTTATTATTTTCTTGTGACGCTCACCCTTGATTTTTGTATTTAATTATTGGATCTATAAATACGGCTCATAAAAATACTGTTGGGAGTAAGTGACTGCAATGTCTGATCACTGTAATAATACATTTTAATGTGTGCTTTCATTAATATCCCTTCTAAAGCTTTAAAATAGAACCGTACTTATACTAAACCTGTTTTTCAAGATCCTGATGAACTTATTTCACCGGTGTCTTTTTTTCCAGTAAACTTTTTGGGTTGTATTACTGCCTTGCATCCAGTATGACCTTCCTTTTTCTGAAAAGAGAAGGTAGATATGAATCGTGGACCTGCTCTATGGAGACAGGCAACTGCGTTGTTGCGAACCCTTGCATGTTTTTGAGCTCAGCAGCTGACTGTGGTCTGCTGTTAATGTTGCTGATAACCACTGTGTTTCCGTGTAAATACTCATCATTTGAGTCTGGTGAAGGACAGAGACTAAGTGGTGTGAAAGGTAAAACGTGAGCAGAAAATCTCTTCAACTGATACAGAAAGATCCGAACGAAAGGATGTATGAAAACAAGAAAACTGCTGTAGATGACATGTTGCATTCAAGGAAGAGGAGCCATTAACACTGGCTCTGCCTTCCGCTTAGTCGTGAACATGCCTTAGAAAGGCTCCCGTGTTAGTAGGGGTCCGTTGTGTCCGTTATGGCTTGAGGGGAGGGTTTTGTGTGTTAACGAGAACGCAGTAGCTTAACTGCAAGAAAATAGAGGTTTGCTGTTGAAGGGGCCTACAGAGAATTTTTCTGTAGTTGAGTGCCAGCCTGTTTTTGCTGCTTGATGATATATAGAGAAGCCTCGAAAGATGTTTGCTGGTGTCAGGAGTTGTAGCCTTAGTTACTTGAATATGAATTGCTGGGTTCTGATCGTTAACAATGAGCGCTAGATCTTTAGCAAATGCTTTTTCCTGAGCATAGTTAACTGAAATCTGTGTAACCTAGAGAAGGGTTGCATAGAGCGTTTTCTCCTCTTCCTTCTCTTTGTGGTCAACTTTTTTTGCCCTTTACTCATGTGTTTCTGGTCTTTCACTAAATTCTCGGTTGTTAGTGTATTCTAGACAAATCTAGAGTCTATTAGGCTAGACAAATCACTATCCTAATGTAAGGAGCAAAAGTAAATAATTGAATTTTTTGCATAGTAAAAAGGATACAAGTCCTTTAAAAGGTCACCTTCGAGTAATTGGATGCAGAAATAAACGTGCTGATGCTGCAAAGTGCAATGCTATGTATTTTACTAAAATGAACTGCTGTCGCAAACTGGCCACCCGAGTTGGTTTTGGCTTTTGCTGGAGCTTAAGCAGCGGAAGCAGTGGCGGGGGCTGTACTTGGGGGCTGCGGAAAGCGCCCGCCC